CTGCAAGGCATCCGCGCGCGCCCGCAGTTGCTTCATGCCGTTTGGTTTGCTGTGCGGCGCCGCCGTGCTGTTGGGCTGTTTTGGATCGGCAGGCTCTGCGTGGTTTTGTTTGAGGCCGTCTGCTTCTGTTTGCGTTGTTTTTTTCTTTCCGTGTCAGGTTTTGGACCGCGCTTGTGCATTTAAGCAAGGCATCCCGCACTCCAAGACCAAGCATGCTGGCCTTGAAGGCAGGGCATCCTGCGTTGGACCGCAGGGCATCCTGCACTTAGGCAGGGCATCTTGCACTTCAAGACCAAGAATCCTGTTCTTGAAGGCAAGGCATCCTGCGCTGTGGCGCCGCAGGGCATCCTGCAGCTCCAAGCGCGGCGTTGCAACTCATACGCATGCGCTAGGAAACTGGGAGACAAGCTGGGGGACGAACCGCGCGGAGGCGCGCAACGCAAAGCCTGCAAGGCATCCGCGCGCGCCCGCAGTTGCCAGAGAAACGGGGACACGGAGCTGACTTAGCGAAGTAAGGTCTCCGAGTCAGAACCCGACGGCCCGAGTCGGCCGCGGAAGCCACGTGTCAGACGGAAAGCGCCGTGTCAGACAACGACGGCCCGAGTCGGCTGCTTGCAAATCTGACTTTTTCGTCACCGGCCATGTCATTCAAGCTGCAGCTACCCGGTGTGAGACGGCCAAGGCTCACCCAGCAAACCACGCAGCATCAGCAGCATGTCGTCGGAGAACGCGTGCCAAGCCTTGAACAAGGAGCCCATGCTGCGAGACCGCCCATACACTGGCTCATACTCTTGCACGTGGTTCATGCAGGACACAAGCAGCGGCTCCAAGGTCTCTGCGTGCGTTCGCCAGGATGCCCCCCAGGTTGCTGCAGTTGTGTGCGAAAGGACACGGGATTGGCTCATACTCTTGCACGTGGTTCATGCAGGACACAAGCAGCGGCTCCAAGGTCTCTGCGTGCGTTCGCCAGGATGCAGGTCAGCTGCAGTTGTGTGCGAAAGGACACGGGATTATTGCCTTCACAGGGAGGCTGGAGGTCAGGCCAGGAGCATGTCACTTTCCAGTGCTCACAGCGGCGGAGGCTGTAGATCACTGTCATGAGAATGGTGACGGTGTCCAGGTTGGTAGAGGACTGCTCCCCTCCAACGTGGCGGCAGAGGCTGTACTGGATGCGCAAGCACTGCTCCAGATGCCACAAGGGAGTGAAGTTGCCGTATGTGACCTCCTCATGCCGGCCACGGTGAGCAGCCAGCGCAGCCTGCATCCCACCCACCAAAGCCATGACGTGCTGCGTGTCAAGTTGGACGGACATGTGCGGCAGCCAAGACTGACAAGTGGCTGAAACACTTCTCGGGCCAAGAGCGCTGCAAGGCAAGCAAGGCAACTCACAACACAAATCAGTTGCAGGTCACGGTCAGCATGAAGCAATGACTCCGGATCGCCCTGCTTTGTGCGACGCCAGCAACCCCTAGACTGTCACAGCCCTTTTCGGGCGCATCCCCCAGAAGACCTTGGACCAACTGCGTGGCCAAGCGCGCTGCCAACTTGCTGGCAAGCGCCCCCATTGTTGCACACTCATCGATCGAGTGTACGGACACTTGGGCTTTTTCCGCCCGCACTTCAAAATTGGACCCTGAAGACTCAGCACGGGCTGCAATGCCCTGGCACAAAAAAAGCATCGACCCCACCTTGCGGGCTGCTGCTGGCGAGCCAGCGACCGCTGCAGCTTCTTTTGCTGCTTTTCACGCAGCGCCAAGCTGGCCGGGCATCCTGCGTTGGACCGCAGGGCATCCTGCACTTAGGCAGGGCATCTTGCACTTCAAGACCAAGAATCCTGTTCTTGAAGGCAAGGCATCCTGCGCTGTGGCGCCGCAGGGCATCCTGCAGCTCTAAGCGCGGCGTTGCAATTCATACGCATGCGCTAGGAAACTGGGAGACAAGCTGGGGGACGAACCGCGCGGAGGCGCGCAACGCAAAGCCTGCAAGGCATCCGCGCGCGCCCGCAGTTGCCAGAGAAACGGGGACACGGAGAAGTAAGGTCTCCGAGTCAGAACCCGACGGCCCGAGTCGGCCGCGGAGGCCACGTGTCAGACGGAAAGCGCCGTGTCAGACAACGACGGCCCGAGTCGGCCGCGTATGGGACGGCGGGCACGCCAGAAGAAGCGCGGACGCGGAGCTAACTTAGCAAAGTAAGGTCTCCGAGTCAGAACCTGACGGTCCGAGTCGGCCGTGGAGGCCACGTGTCGGACGGGAAGCGCTGTGTCAGACAACGACGGCCCATTGGGGGCAGTTCCTGAACGCGCTTCCGCAACCACGCGCGAGTGTTGTCTGACTCGCGCGTAGGCGTTGTCCGACTCGCGCGTTGGCGTTGTCTGACTCGTGTTGTCTGACTCGCGGGCCTGTTGTCTGACACGGTCTTCGCTCCTGGCTGCGCCTGCGCTGCTTGGCAGGGTTTCTGCGTCTGCCAGCTTGCAGCTTGGGCGCTGTTGCTGTGCGCTGGTCGTCTCCATGCGCGTCCTGCCACAAGGCTTGAGGGAGTTGGAGAGCGACGGGCTAAAGGAGCGTATCTGCTTGCTCGATGGCATCGGTGCTGGACCAGTAGTCAAAAGTGTTCTGATATACACGAACGAGCTCGATGAACGTTCGCTGCAAAGAGCTTGCGCCTTCAGTCACTTCTTCTGGCCGCAGCTGAAGAGATGCCCAAAAAGCAGTCTCGGAGTAGTCTTTTCCGTGATACCAAGGATCCAGGCCGCGCAGCCAGGCTGTCAAAAGCTCAGGAGCCCAAGTGGTTGGTGAGGCAACGGGAATCGTCACGTCGCCGCAGACCACGCTGCCCGTCGACACTCCGCCGCTGGCCGTGAAGGTGCAGTCCAGGCTCTCGCAGTCCAGCGGGCCAGCGGACGCCGCCCCGGTGATCGTTAGCGTGGCGCCCGTAAGCGCCCCGGTGGCTGCGAAGCTTGCCGCGGTTGCTGCGCCGGAGGCCGTCAGGGTGGTGCCTTGACGAGGTGGCTGGGGTCTTGTGGCAGGAGGTTCTCTTGGCAGAGCTGCAGGCAGTTGCGCTTTTGTGAGGGGATTGTCAGGGGCAAGTGCAGCCGGTCAGTGCTCCAGAACTCTGTCAAGCATGCGGGGCAAGATGTGCCAAAAGCAAAACGGGCAGTGTCGGACCTTTGCTTGTGTTGCACCGCACGGTGCCCTGACAGCTCATCATAACAGGTTGGGAAGGTCTTGCTGCAGTCAGGGCAGTGGAACGACTGTGGCGCGCTTGCGTCTGGTTGGCGCTGGAAGCTGAGTCTGGACTGTTGGAGTAAGCGTCGAAACCTTTTCCGCCAGGACAAGAGGTCTGACTGTCTGGCAAACGCAAGCGCCTCTGGCCAAGTGAAATTGTCAGGAAGTTTGTAGAGCTGACTCCGGTAGTGAGCGCGGAACAATGTGAGGTCTTGGGCAACAGCCTGAAACCAGGAGTCGTGCCTAGGAGTAGAAATGCTTTAAAGTTGCAACTGTTCACCCCCAGCTCAGCTGGGGACACTGGCTCCAAGGACCCCTAAGTTTACTAAGAGCGTGGACCCCAGCAGCCTGTTGGACAACAAATCTTGGAGAGAAGCCTAGGGGGGTGGTCGACAGGCAAACCGTGACCAGCTTGCCAGCGCCCAAAAAGAAGGGATTGGCCCAGGTCAGCTTCCATGAGACCAAGTGTTGCACTTGGCCCAGGAGAATTGATTTGTTAAAGTAGGGACCCCCGATTGAGTGTTGCTTCCTTAAGCCTCAATCCAACCTTCATCACCCAGTGAGGCCATTTGCTCACAAAAACTGTGGGCAACCCTTGTAACATTGTACCCTGGCATCGCTTGGTATCGTGTTTTCTCTGCATGGGTTTGCAGTGATTTGGCAGCTCTAGCTCGAAAGTCGCAACTTTTCAGAACAAGTGTAACTACACTTTGTCAGCTCCGGCTCGAAGTCAAAACAGTGTTCAGAGCAAATGTAGTACTTTGTAGTACACAAAAGTGCATTCTGGCAGCTCCACGGCAACTGGCTGGATTCGGCATGACGTCAAATGAGTTAGCTATCGGTTGGGCATCGGTTTGGGTATCGGCTCTGACTCCGTTGCGACAACAGCTTGGGCCTGATGTGTGTTCACGTCCTCTGCGAGAATGTTGTTTTCCTCATCAGCTTACACTGTTTCGGGTCTGCAAAGAAAGTCAAGGGACGGCCCTTACATAACGAGAAGGTGCATTTTTTTCCGGACCCAAACGGGATGCCCTTCATATCACAAAAGTGAGGCCAAAAAAGCATTTCACCAACTACGGGAAACCGAAGGAACCCGCAAAGTTCTAAAGACATGGTAGCATTTGGAAAGAAGCGACTTGCTCCTTGTGGGTTGGTAGGTTTAATCTGAAGCAACCCCCACTGCCAACAAAACACCAAAGAACACTGGATAAATAAGTGTAAACTGGCTAAAGCCCTGGCAACAAGGGCAAATATCCTGGAGGGCCCCAAGACCTTGGTCCCGGCTTCTGTTGTTTCGCTCAAACAGCTGTTTCCCCGCCTGCAACATCCAACCCCGTTTTGGTTGGAGTTTCAAGGGGTCGAGAACCACATGGAAAGCAACCATTTTAGGGCGCCCCAGATTGATAAATCAAACTCGCAAATTCAAGTTAAAATCACAGCGACCTCCTTCTAGTCAAGCACTGTCTGCTTCAGACCCGAATCTCTCCATCTGTCCAAGGCAGGTCAGGAAGCAATGCGTACATGATGTTGATGCCATAGTTCCGGAAGATGCTGCGGCGGAAGTCGCCTCGAGACATGCAGAGGTGCAAAACATGTCGAGAGGTTCTCGCCAATTGAGGCGGTGCCCCTCAATTTACAAGTGGTTGGTCTTCTCTTTGGCGTACTTTTGAAAAGCAGCGACAATTGGCTTCCGGTGTCGCCATATCATGCAAACTTGTTTCCACGTGTCGCGTCGGAATCACAACCCTTTCTGGGTCCACCTTTCGAATCCAGGCCTCCGTAAGTGTTCACGTACGCGGTGGTGGAAAGTACGATGAAGAGGATCAGCACCCCAATGGCACCTCGAGTTTGACCCAGCTGCCAGCTGGTGAAAATGTCATGGGTCCACACCCGGCACAAAATGGGTCTAAAAAAGGTGGCCCACGTTTGAATCCGGAGTCCGACGTGACCATTCAAAAGATTGTAGCTTGACCTTGGATATCCCTAAGCAAAACCAGCGTCCCTGCACATGCTTGGCGTCTGACATACCCAACTCAGGGGCCTGACTTATGATAAACGAAGTGGGGGGAGTGAGGCCAAATCTCTTGGTACCTTCTACGAGGGTGCTTTGAAGTTTGGCCAAGCTGAGTGGTGGGCCGGCCTAGGCAATAGCCCACTAATAACAGTGTAACAGGGTTAACTTTGATAAGGGTACCAACCCGGGAAGAGTCTGGGCCAACCGCCTGACCGAACTGCAAACAAAACTCACAGGTGGAGCCGAGAGGGCCAGCAGTGAACACCCCTCTGCTCCTTCCCGTGATGGCCAGAACGCTATTATACCCTTTGGCGCCATTGTCATTTGAATCCTGCAAAAACAAACAGGCTGCTGGTGTGGGAATTGTCCATCAACAGTATTGGGATTGGGTGGGCTTAGGGGGAGGGCCCTTGACCCTGGCTCTGCGCTGAGATGCTATCGTAGTTGTCGCCCTTGTTCATCCACAGCCTGGCACCGGATGAAGCAGGGCTCACCATTTCGGTCATCCTTTCCCAACAGGGCCCCCACCCCTCCGGGCGGAACAACATGTGTCTTGCACTTTTGGCTGGACGTGACTCAACCCCTCTAACATTCAAATACATGTTCCACTAGGATCCTCAGTGAAGGCCAAGATGTAAGATCTTACCCTCCGTAAAAAGTCAATAAACATGAAAAAGAACAGAAAAGAACAGAGCACATACAACCACCTTTTGTTCGGATGGTTTGAAAGGGAATGTGAAATGAAAGCAACCATTTGGTTGTTTGTGGGTCTCCTAATCTTGAGATAAACGCATCTTAGAAGGAAACCAGCCTGAGTCAAGAACTACGAAACCAACCAACGTTTTCAGCAGTCCAAATTGCTTTCTGTAAAAGCCCAAACTTGCAGTGTCCGAGCAAAACACTTTCCGTAAGTTGGCTGGCATTGAAGAGTCAGCGCTCAAAACTTTAGTCTACTGGAGGCTTGGTGAATCCTAATCCTTAATTCGAGCCCTTAAGTAACCTAAGGGAAAGATTGAGAATTGCCTTTGAACAGCCCAGATTGTCTTCCCAGCAGGACGGCTTTAAGCACTGGGGGAGAGTGGGGATACCTGTTGAGGGAATGAAAGACCATTCAAAATGATGGGCTTCATGCCACTTGTCGTTTTCCAATGGACCGAACCTGGGTTCATCTGCAATTTCCTTTCCGAACCCTTGAGGAGCAAAGTAGAAGGACTCCTCTAGAGTCTAGCAATCCTTCACAAAAAGGGTCCCTCGATTTCCCTGTTCAAAGATCAACAAGACAACCTCGAGCTCCACTATATAGTCATGACAAAAGGGTTTACACAATAGGCCACCTTGGTCGGGTCAACCAACCAAGAATGGTTGGCCTATTGTCAACGCAATCATATGTGCAGTGGTCAAATTCCGTCCTTCTACCGGTCAGCAACTCCCTCCTCAACCCATATCAACTCCAACTCACAATGGGCCTCTAATCCTTGCACCGAGAAGCCAAAATAGCGGTTCCCACAATAGACACGGGAAAATGTGTGAGTTCCACTGGCTTTTCTACTTGCCTGAAATTTTGAACGCTCCACATATGAGCAGAACAAACCCGAAGATACATCTGCAATCCTGCTTTTTTTGTTCACTCCTCTAAAACAGTTGGTACTGTTTTTTTGCTCCAGTTCGACCGCTCCATTTCGAAAAAAAAAATGGGGCGCCCTGCAAACCAGTGCCAAAAAGCCGTCAGCACAACCTGTTTCACTCGCCACCTCTCGGTTTTTCGGGGGTTGCTAAGGGGTCGACATTTTCGAGTGGGTCCCCCGTCCGACGCCTGAAAAACGAAAAACAAAAAACGCGCCGGGGCGCTGGGGCAGCACGCTGATCCAGCTGGGGTTCAAGGGGTCGTACCATTCCGTCATGTGGAGCACCGCCAAACCCACGCCCAGGATGGCGCAGCCCAGGCCGTAAGGCACCAAAACGCCTCAACGGCACAGGTGTTCATTTGGGGCAAATTGATGGGGTTCTCTGGAAGATGATGAAACCACCAGGAAAACCAGGGCCATCATTTTTTCCTACCAGAACAACCAAAAAGGAAACCTACGCCTGAAGGGCTGTGGAAGGGTTGCAGTTGGGTGAGAGATGGCACAATTCCAACAGGTTGGTTTACCCCCATTTACTTCACGTGCAAAGAATTGTGCCATCTACATTCACCCTGGTGTACGTGGTTTGAAAGGAAACACCTGAAGTGATGGTTGTTTGGGTTCCAGGTTCATCAGCAGGCGGGCAAAGTTTGATTTTGATGCGTGTCTAGTTGGGCCGTTGCACTCCCCGCTCTTGTGTCGCTCCCCTCGGGGGGCTGGTCGGGGGAGAGGAGTTGAGGCTGTTCGGAGCTGCCTTTCTCTGTCCGCAGCGGCAAAGTAAAAACACGGACTTACACTCATACACAAGCACACATGCGCCAACCAAAAGACCAACCGACCAAACAAAGCAAGCAAGCAAGCGAGCGAGCGAGCGAGCGAGCGAGCGAGCGCGCGGGCAGGCAGGCAGGCAGGCAGGCAGGCAGGCAGGCAGGCAGGCAGGCAGGCAGGCAGGCAGGCAGGCAGGCAGGCAGGCAGGCAGGCAGGCAGGCAGGCAGGCAGGCAGGCAGGCAGGCAGGGCAGGCAGGCAGGCAGGCAGGCAGGCAGGCAGGCAGGCAGGCAGGCAGGCAGGCAGGCAGGCAGGCAGGCAGGCAGGCAGGCAGGCAGGCAGGCAGGCAGGCAGGCAGGCAGGCAGGCAGGCAGGCAGGCAGGCAGGCAGGCAGGCAGGCAGGCAGGCAGGCAGGCAGGCAGGCAGGCAGGCAGGCAGGCAGACACACACGCAGGCAAGCAAAGCAAGCAAAGCAAGCAAGGCAAGCAAGGCAAGCAAAGCAAACAAAGCAAACAAAGCAAGCAAAGAAAGCAAAGCAACGCAAAGAAATCAAAGCAAGCAAAGAAAGCAAAGCAAAGCAAAGAAACCAAACCAAAGCAATGCAAAACAAGCAAGCAAAACACGCCAAACCAACACAAACCATATCAAACAAGCAAGCAAACAAGCAACGCACAACAAGCACACAAGAAGGCAAGACGAACACACAGTGTACGTACATATTTACATATGGTATTAATTTATCGTATTATAGTGCCCACCTGAGTCATGCGGAGATGGCAAATTGACGATAGGTTCAGAAACGGTCAGAACTCACCACTAGCCCAATGCAATGGACCCTCAGCATGTCAGTGAGTGGAACTCTCTTGCCTGTGGTTTTAGACAACCTCCCACCTTGGCTTGTAAACCTCTGTCCTAAAACATGTTCTGGAAACTGCGGAGGGCCATGCCATAGCTGAAATCAGTGGCATGGTACCTAACCTTCTGGCCCGATGTGGACAAATGAGGTGAGCCCCTCCCTCAGTGCCCTGATTTGTGTTCAGGGCACAACTTTGTTTTCCTTCCTGGGAGATGGTCAGAAGATACACCGACGCACTTCAAATTGATTCCTTTTGGGGTCCCTCTAAACCATCCGAAAACAAATCCCTAACTTTAGGACACACCGAACAAGACATCAACCTCGAGGCTCCTTGGCCTCTGAAGGGAAAACTTTCTGGAAGGTCCTTGGGATCTACCTGGGTCTGATGGTAGGGGAAACGGGCACCCGGGTCTTTGACCATTGAATCCCTCGCACTGCTTGTGCCCAATCTGAATTCTTGATGCCCTAGACAATCGTGAGCCAAAGCAAGTAGCACGAGCGATGCGCTCTGTACCAGGAAAACGGCGCTCTGTACCAGACGTCGAGGCACATGCCGCAGGAGGAGTCTGTGTGCAGATTCTGAAAGCAAACACCATATAGAAACAGCAAGCGCCGGGATGAAACAAAGGCGTAAGGGAACAACTGCCCGAGGGCAAAGGTGCGGCAAAACAAGCACAAACACAACATCCCCTTCGCCCTTGCAACAAAAACACTTGCTACTGCAATCAACCTCCGACAGAGCAAGATACACACACACACACAGTATTCGCCAGTGGATCCCGCCAGTGTCCCGCCAGAGCAGCTCGCCAGTCTGGTTTTGCTTAATGTCCCGCCCGGCGCACAGTTGGGCCTACATTTCGTGTTGGTGCCTTCGTGCTTTGAGTGTACCACACACACACACACACACACACACGCAGACACACCTCGTCCTCCCTCCCAAAACCTGTCTTGGTAGTTGAGGTTTTGATGGAAAGCCCTCCAAGCGAGAGAGACAAACAGAGAGAAACACGGGAGAATTCCACCGTGGACTTCTGTGAAGGCGACCATTCCTGGCCTGACACGGTTCTGAAGCCCAGCAGGGTGGCGGTGGGTCGGAACTTCGCCAGGTGCGGCAGCGCTTGGGATTGGGTCATGAAGAACCTGACGGTGTGCGCCGTCGGCTCCCAAACATACGCAAACTGACCCAGCAGCATAAAAATAGAGGAAAATCCATTGGGGGAAGTGCCTGCCAAAGTGGCTCCGAAGGGTGTGCATCCCAACGAAGAGCCCCATCAAGTCCTTTTCGGGGCAGCCAAATGCTGGAACTCTGCTCCAAACCCGGGCATAACACCTTTTTGGAGCCCTTTTAAATTTGTCTGGTTCCCGAGAAAAACTGAAGTTTACGTTTGGATTTGGAGAAGTGGCACAGGTTTGCTGGGGCATTTCTGGGCAAAGATGGACCCTCCCTCTCAGTCAAAAGGGGCTCCCCCTCACCAGAGAATGGGACATACGGGTATGCGTCAAAATTGGGGAGCCCCCCGCAAAGGTGGTTTCCCTCCCGGTTTCCTTCTAAACCAAGCAGAACTGGATACCCTATTTGAAGAACACAAAAACACTCAAGTTATCATTCCCAACTTCTGGTGCAAAGCCATGGTCATGATCCAGAATCCTCATCCCCACATATCCTCAGAAAAAAACACAAAGAAGAAAAAATACACTGTAGTCAACCGGTCAGACCCTGGCACACACCTCGGAACAAGACATACCAGAGGAACTCTACAGAAGCTACACGATATTCAACGAATTCCTTGCAGCATCAGCGAAACGATTCCCAGCCCTTGGGCCCCGAGCCGGTCAGGAAATGTTTGACCCATCCCTAAAGCCAATAGCGTTGCCGCCCTCTCCTTTCAACTCAGCGCCGGGGTTTGCCACAGGTTGCTTCCCCAGTTGCCACCCTCAAAATCAAGAACCCTTCTTGATTTCGGGCCCATGCAAAAACCGATGCGGCAGTGCCAGCGACTAACGTGTGTGTGTGTGTGTGTGTGCCAAAAGAGGGTATCTTCCAAAACGACTGAGTTGGACATGGGATAGTCACAATGGAATTTAGCCTACGTCACTTTCGTGTGCCACCAAGCAGCATCATGATGACACCCACACCAATGTCCTTGGTGCGCAATGACGGCATGGCAATGAGCAACTCGGCGGATTCTAAGGGGACGCTTCCCCTAAAACGTGAAGGATTCCTCGGGAATCGACCAGGGAGAATTGCAACGCACAGAATTTGGACTTCAATAGGCACTGCCAGGGGTGGTCTCCGGTAAACCCTTGTGAGCTTCAAAAACATGCCATACTAAGCTGCCCACCGCAAAGCACAGCTCCAACGCTTTGGAAGCTTTGGGGGAGTGACATACTACCCGTGAAGGATGGCTTTGAGCGTTTGAGCTACGTATGTTGGTCTTCAGGAGTCGGAGTGTTGGGTTGTCTTTGACCCTTGGCAAAACACTAAACATGTGCTTGCTGCGTTCATCATCCAAGTCAGGAGGTTAAAGGTCGAACCGAGCAACCAAGGTGGTGTGTACTAAGTTAAGTGATGAGGTCCCCTTTCCTTTGCTCTGCGGCCCCACACTGACCTGATCTGAGATTTTGCAACTCCAAACACTGAAACAAACACCAAACCACGACCAAACCAAGATTCAGGTTCTTGAACAAGTCCGAAAACTGAACAAGAGCTCCCCAAGTAAAGGACCTTCAGCATTCGCTCATTTTAACCCCCCAAGCTAAAATTGGCAGACCTACTTCGTTGGTTCTGAGCGCCGGACGTTTGTAATCCACACCCACCTCAGTCCGGAGCAAAGACATCATAGGCCCTGTCCTACAAGCACATGTTTACATATAGCACATACTACTTACATAAAGCGACCGCTAAATACATATATGCATACACGTATGCAATTGTTGCGTAACATCATGTATGCATGTATGTATGTACGTACGCACGCACGCACGCACGCACGCATGCATGCATGCATGCATGCATTTGTGTATTGATGTATGTATGTATGTATGTATGTATGCATGCATGCATGCATGTATGTATGTATGTATGTATGTATGTATGCATGCATTTATGTATGTATGTATCTATGTATGTATGTATGTATGTATGTATGTATGTATGTATGTATGTATGTATGCATGTATGTATGTATGTATGTATGTATGTATGTATGTATGTATGTATGTATGTATGTATGTATGTATGTATGTGTGTGTATGTGTGTATGTGTATGTGTATGTGTATGTGTATTACAACTGTTGTACAACATGTATGTATGTATGTATGTACGTACGTATGTATGTATGTGATGTGATGTGATGTGATGTGATCTGATGTGATGTGATGTGATGTGATGTGATTGATGTATGTGATGTATGCGATGTGTATGTGTGTGTATGTGTATGTGGATATGTGTATGCGTATGAGTACATGTATATGTATATGTATGTGTATGTATATGTATAGGTACATGTGTATGTACGTGTATGTGAATTTGAATGTGTATGTGTATGTGTATTATATTCATATGTGTATCATATGTATGTGTATATGTATATGTACATGTATGTGTGTGTGTATGTGTATATGTATATGTATATGTGTACGTGTATATGTATGCATATATGTATATGTATATGTATCTGCATATGTATCTGCATCTGTATATGTGTATGTAATGTAATGTAATGTAATGTAATGTAATGTAATGTAATGTAATGTATTGTAATGTGATGCAATGCAATGCAATGTAATGTAATGTCATTAAATGTATCTATGCCCAAATCCATCCCTTGAGAAAAGACACGGCATGTACTAAGCGGGATCAGTTCCTTTAAAAGGATCGATGATGGGGGAAACACAGACATTGCCTAAACAAAAATAACTCCCTCATCAAGGGGTGTGTTGAACCATCCATTCAGTCCAGGGAGTTCCAAACGGAATGCGCCACAATTGTCGAATTGGGAGGGGGGGCGGTCTTTTTTTGGGGGAGGCAGGTCCATGTTGAACTGCAGGGGGTCTAGTTGGTACTTGCCAACCGACGGATCTGCTCCGCCAGGTGGGCTCGCTGTAGTTTGTCCAAGTGGATCCCCCCCTTTTCGGGGCTAAAGAACTGATCCCCGAACTCCCCCGAGGCGCCGGACTCACCCAAGCTCAGGTTGTGCAAGACAATGAAGAAGGTCCGGACCTCTGGCAGAATGTTGCCATTTCTCACTATACCCTCCCTCCAATCAATGGAAGCTGACAGGAAGGCGTTTTGAACAAAATAAAACATTCCTTTCGGGGGACCTGCCGGAAAGAGGATACTTAGCGGTGTCGACAAAACACGGACAGAGCCTGTGCCTGTTTGTTTTTGTGGGTTTGACATTTGCATGAGTGGGTTCTGGGATGCTGCACACGTCATTGTCCTCTGATGCAAGAAGGAACCAATTCGTTGGAGAGCGGGACCCCCAACCGAGAGAAAAGTGCTCCTCGATGGGCATGGGACAAAGGCTGACCCCACGCTATGCCACGTGCTCTTGGCTGCCCTTCCAAGACAACACGCGCATTTGTTTTCTGCCGAAAGAAAAGAACTCAAAATTGGGGATCCCATTTGGATGGCTTTCTGAAGGGTCACAAAGAGGAAAGAAACTTTCTTGGTGCCCATGGAGTGGTGCTTAACATCCTTTGGTCTTCGTCCTCCTTGAGCCGTTTCCGCTTTTATGGTGGTTTTAGAATAGAAGCAAGGGGACCGCCGACCACAACCCTCCGGTTAGAGACGCACCCGTTATCCCGTCACTTTTTTAGTGATGATGTTACGGGGTGCTGCTCCCCAGGTATTTTGGAACATGTATAGGCAGCACCGGAGAGAAATGGAAACCGGCGTGATCCAGCTAAGTTCAGCCTGTCAGACCTAAGAGGACGCAGTTTAGGATTGCCTTTCCCTGGACCTGCCAGTTTTTGAGTTGCATGCCTCCCCCTCTCCCTCTCGTCTCCCTGAACCCCGCCGTGGTGAGCAGGAAGGCGTAGACCATGAAGTAGGTGAAGGTGGCCATGTTCGTCGCCAAGCACGCGCGCCCTGTCGCGATCAAAAACATCAGACCGGGATGGGGGAGGGGGGGAAGGGGGGGAAGTGCGATGTTTGATGGGCCCTCCTTTGTGCTGTGTGTTGTTGCAGGAATTGATGTCGTCGTTTAAGGCTGGAAAGCACACATCTTGAATCGCAGCACGTTCCAGCAACTCTGAGGGCACTCTGAGCTGAAAAAATAATCAAGGCCACAAGCATCACATTCGCATACGGTGGGCTGAGGATCCGGTGCGGATTTAGGGCTGGGAGGGTTGGTTTTGGGTTGGGTGGATCGGATGGGCTTAGGGTGAGTTTGGGGAACATTTGTCACATTCAAGCCGGTGCTTTCGGAATCCGCCAGTCAGCTTTGCAACTCTTGCAACTTCAGGCCGGAGGCTGCCGCTTCGGTTTCGAGGAGACAAATAAATCCGCCTTGAACTCGTCACGTGAGCACTCCCCTCATTGAGCGTCGCAGCATCAGCTAAGCAAACTCTACTTCCAGCCACTGTCTGCTCACCTTGACATCGACTGGATCAGAGACTGCAGCCTAGGCAGGGCAGGCTTTGGCCGGGACTAAGATGAGTTTAGGTGGTTTAAGGTTGTATTGGGGATGGCTTTCCAAAAGCCAGGAACTGCCGGGAAGCGCCGGGGAAGCAGCAAAAGCCCCCAAAGCCACCAGCAAACCAAAATCCATTACAACACAGCCCTCCTACGTAGCTCTGTAAGTGGGTAAAACATGGCATGTCGCAAACAGTCCTACAACAAAAACACAAAACGATCTGCGGAAAACTGCATCTTTGGATTTTGAAATCGAACAGCAAGCACAATTCTCCCAAATATGCAACTCAAGAGGCTTCTGACTACTGCTCGGGGGTCCTTACTTCCTGAGTGGATCCCAAAATGCCACCAACTGATCTTTCAAGCAACAAGTCCCGAAACCTGGGACATGAGTGGTATGTTCACTTCATTCACCATCACCCAGATGTCCAAAAGGTGTTTGAGCTGCCCTTTGAAGACCCCGAGCTAGCTTCCCAGCTCGTGGAAACCTCCAATTTGCTCGTTTGCGGTCCGTCGTAAAACGGCCATCCCCCGGCTCATCCCTGAAAGCTCCGGCCTTCCTTGATGAGATCCGGCACAGTGGTCAACGAGATGTCGTGCTTGGCAGCTCCTTCAAAGCAAAGAGGTGCTCAAACTGGGTCGTTTAAACTGAGCGGATCCCTAATCTTAATCCGCAATCCGTAGTGGGGACCATTATAACAAGGGAACCACTACCATCTGGCAGAAGGATTGAGGAATGATTCTGAGCAACACTGTAACACAACATGACCAACTATTGTGATGTTTCTCACTGAAGCGTAGCTAGCCTGCTGCAAGAACTAGGCTTGATGCATTCTGGAAAAAGCCCTGCAAAAGGCAACATGCTAGCGGCAGAACATTGCCAAAGTGCCCCTTAGCCCACGTCGCTGGCCCCCAGGCAAATATTGGAAGCGACTTGGGGACATGGCTGTGTGCCAAAACCGGACTGTTGGTACGCAGGGAACCCAACCCTCTCTCTCTCCTGGAGGCACCTTCTGCCAGCATGTGCCTTTCAATCCCCGGGTGAGAACAGATTCAGTTGCCCTAAAAAATGTACAATTGCTTGTTGAGGGCATGTCTTTACTTTCGCGCCCCGCCAACTCCCAATGCCCCAACTTTCAACCCGATGACCACAATCAAACAGCCAGAACAAAACGGGCACGCTCTGCAAGTTCTCGTTTCGTCTGCTTGGCTGGCTTTGCGGGTTCTTTACTTGCTGTTTTCCCAAGCCTTTTGGCTGACTTAGGCTGGCTGTGGCGGGTTGTTGGACCTCTAGCCTCCTTGTGGCTGAGGGCTGGTTCTTTCCGGGGCTGAGGGCTAGGCCCTCGTTTGCTCACGAGGCCTCCTTGCCCCAAGCCCCCAGTCACTTGCCTGTGCCGGGGCGGCCGGTGGAGAAGGGCGCCACCATGGACGCCTGGCAGTTGCCATCTTTCCGCGCTTGGGCTTCTGTCAAAAAAACTGGAAGACCCCAAAAATGAGGGGTTTCCTATGGTTTCCCTCCAGGAACACCAAAAACGGTACCTTCAAACAGGGTACCTACAAAATGAGTGGTTTCCCATACACCTTTGGTCTGGAGGGTTATAACCCGCTTCAGAACCAAGTGAGGCGGCCAAGTACTATAGATTATAAGGGCAAAAACATTAGAATGAATTGGGTTGTGGGATACTCCAAAACCAAGTTGAGTCATAGGATTCCTAGGATATTAGCGCGTGTAAGCGTTTACCCCAAATCAGTAAACTTTTATATAGGGTCTATGTCCATCTGGATGTCCAAATGAGAGGATATATTTACAACAAAAACCTTGGACGGTTTCCACTACCTCCAAGCGGAAATTGTGAAGTGGTTACATTCCCCTGGAAGTGATTTGGTGGGTGGACCAACCAAAATGTCTCGCGTTGATAGCCGTTGGGTTGTCGATCGGACTGCGACAACCAGCGGATGATAGGACTTTGTATGCAAACTTCACAAGACGGGGCTTCCAACTCTCAAATCGGTCCAAACTTCCATTGACAACCATTTGGTGGACATCACTTGCATGGGCATTGATGTCCGCCTATCATGTTGGCGGCTCCAATTCTCAAAAATGGTCATACCCACCCAGCTGTGTCCAAGTTCGAAAATTGGGAACCCGTGGCTATGACCATGGTCATACCGGTCATACCGGTCATACCGGTCATACCGGTCATACCGGTCATACCCACAAACTCGGCTTCCCCATGGCTTCTCCGCTTCAGCCGCTCCAAAGCGGCCTAGCCGCGCCTCCGCGTCCGACAAGGCCAGGCCCGCGTGGGCTGCCCGCAGGCCTCCGCAGTCGTTGCCCCCGTCTCCGGCCATGCCTGGCGGAGACCGAACCCCAGAACCCCCGGTACCGCACACACCACCTAGGTCCTCCAGTACAGAGGTTAGAATAAGGGTACCCTTCTTTCTGTAGTCTCTTTTCCCTCCCCCAAAAAAGGGTAAAAGGACACTACTGGGAGACCTAGCCACAAGGTCAAGGGAAGACTTACGGCCAGACTAGTGTACTATCAGACTTACCGGCGTACCACATGGGTCCCTTTGATCCTTTAGCATACACATTCCAGGATGGAAGCTTGCCCCCTCTTTCGTCACAGCCGCCTTTGCGCCTTCCCATGCCTTTTACCCCTCGCCCGGAGCGGTCAACTTTCACACATTCACACCCATATACACCTCATATTAGTTGGTGGGGCGGGGCAAGGGCCTACATTGTTTCGATTGGGTTTGTGGGGGACTTTAGAACCAAATTGAGCAATGGTCATAAGCGCTTCCACGTTGCACACTGGAAGGTAGAGTTGCCCAAGGGTTTCTAGGTTGCGCCAATTCCCGATCGGCACACACGGGCGGAGCCAAGGGAAACCGCTTGCCAATGTTCGGTCACCGTCAAGCATCGCGACATGAAAAAAAAGGACTCCGTTTGCTTAAAGCGGGAAACCCCTTAAGATTGGACAACTTCCCGTGCGCAAGTGGGTGTCCTTTCAAGCTCTTCATTTCAGAAGAAAAAAGACCCCAAATTGGGGCTGTTGGGTTTCCTTCAAACACCATCCAAAACGGAGCCCCTGACATTCATCTATATTTTCCACACCACTAAAAAAAGAGAGAGACAATTACGTCATAACCATTTGTTCGCCAATGGAAGAAAATTAGCTTCCGGGTTCAAACTGGCAAACCACTTCAATGGCTCAAAATGAGCGGGCCCCCAATTCAAGACGAGGCTCGCTTTCTTCATGCTCTGTTGGTTGCATTTGGCTTCAAATTTTGGGGGGCCGTGTTGGGCCCTCTGAATACGTTCGGGGCGGTTGTGGTTGGGTTCCACTTTCGAACCCCTCTTTGAGAAGGCAAACCAGGCTCCCCAGAAGTGTATGACCCCTCAATAAACAAAAAAAGACGGGAGGCTTTTATTAACCACCCAAGGGGGTGGGCAACAGGCAAGCGCTGCTTGAAGACTGACTTGAAGTCGGTATAGAATGAGACCAGGCTCGCAAAAGGCCCCACCATTTTTTGACGAGCCCCCAGGTAGTCAGCAACCCTAGCGGTTTCGGCCACAGAAATAAGACATGTTTGTGATTAGCCATTCCGGTGGAAAAACAGAGCGTTGAACAAAGCAGAGCAACTTTGAGGAGGGCGAGTCAACCAAGGTCGCCAATCGCGCACCCACTAACATAAGTCTTGAAAGAGTTTCAAAATACAGGCACCCAAAAACAGTGCCTTTCCTTTTGAAATCCCTTCAAACCAACCTGAAAATGGCGCCCTCAACCACACACACACACACGAGTATGCCGTACTGGACGTGTCTTTCTTGTCCAAAGAACCGGCCATGAGATCTCCCAATCCCGGCCTACCACCAAGCCACGGCCCTGCAGGTACTTGACGACCTCGCAGCGCAGGACTTGAGATGACTGGACCACTGGGCAACCCACTCGAGATCGGCCAAAACAGATCGCATTCCACACACAAAAGGTCTTCTGGAAACGTACAAGTCCAGGGAAGTGAGTTTGATTGGGTCCAAAGTGACAGCTCAAAATCACGATTCCAGGAGTGCAGGAGTGACCAAGGGAATGGGGGGGGGGGGGTCACCCTTTTGAATCACCTTATCCCTACTTGATGAATTAGTTTGGTGGTTTGCATTTGTTTGGGCTTCTTCTCCATTTGGTCTCAAAAGGATCTGGGGTCAAATCTCGAAATCAGCAATCCAAACAGTCGGGGGCATGCCTTTTCAACGCATGATACAACCTAAATGGGAGGGTGTGCAGTCTACTGTCACCAAATGTTATCATCATTATGAAGGTTTGGCTGTCTGTGTGTGTGTGTGCGTTGTGTGGACGTGTGGGTCCATAGATGCTGCTTTCTATGTGTGGGCTTGTTTGAAGAGGAAATCTTTACGTGCGGGTTTATGGTACGGATTGATAGAGGATACCATTTTATGTTTGGGTTGGTAGAGGATTTTGATGGCTGGCTATAGGAGCCTTTCCGTGTGGGTTTGTGCGCTGTCCAACAATTTCCACGAGGTTCTCGAGTTGATAAGTCCTGAAGCAAATGTAGGCTATGTCAGCATGCGTTGGCAAATTCTTGCACTTTCACAGCATGGCGTGCATCTGTTCTGCTCACGTGCTTGTTCGCCTTACCAAGTCAGGGTTTCGACGCTCAATCGGCTCTGGGTATGTGTCAAAACTGGGGTCATCTTTCTTTGCAGGTACCTGTTGTGTGGTTTTGAATCGGCTTCCTTGTAGGCCCTTTTGAGACCGTCCCAAACTGGGGCAGACTGAGACTCCCTGTTAAAAAAGGA